CCGGCTGACTCGGACTAGGCAGGCGGACTGGGCGAGAGGATGTGGCTTCCTGGTCCGGCGGACCTGGGTAGGTCAGCTCCGGACCGGCATTCTTCGGACTGGTCAGGACGTTCCGCTGGCTGACTGAGAAGGAATGCACTCCTGGTCCGGCTGACTAGCTGTGCTCAGCTCCGGACCAGGCCTTCGTTTTGGCTTGGTCAGCCGTGCACGGGCGGACCGACTGTACTCTTCTTGCGGTCCGGGGCTGACCAAACTTGGTCAGCTCCGGACCGGATGAGTTCTTCACTCTCCTTCTCGTCTTTTCTCCGTTTCGTCCTGAAAACTCTCGAGTTCCTGCAATAATCAAAACCTAGTCCCGAAGACCTAAATATGGCTCTAATATGCCTAGTATGTGTGGAAATCGTCTAGAAACCAAAGACATACTCAATATAGAATCCAGATAAAATCCGAGCCATCAGGGCTCCCTAGGATCCGAAACAAGGACTCTATTTTTGTTGTTGTGGACAGATTTTCGAAGATGGCTCACTTTATTCCATGTGCAAAGGCAAATGATGCTTCCCACATTGCCGAGTTATTCTTCAAGGAGGTGGTACGCTTGCATGGCTTACCAAGGAGCATTGTGTCGGATCGGGACCCAAAGTTTCTGAGCTATTTTTGGAAGACATTATGGAGGAAGCTCGGAACAAAACTTGTTTTCTCAACGACATGCCACCCTCAAACCGATGGTCAAACCGAAGTTGTAAACCGAACATTGGCTGCACTACTTCGCGCAACAATTGGGCGCAACCTCAAGAATTGGCTGGAATGTCTACCACATGTTGAGTTCGCATACAACCGAGCAACACACTCTGCCACCAAACATTCTCCGTTTGAAGTCGTTTATGGCTTCAACCCCTTGACCCCACTGGATCTATCACCGATCCCTACTCAAGAAATGATCAGCCTTGATGGGGAGAAGAAAGCTGAAGTTGTCCAGAAGTTACATGCCAAACTTTGAGACAACATTGCAAGAAAGACTAAACAATACATGCGGCAAGAAGGTGTCATTCGAAGTCGGGGATTGGGTGTGGCTGCATGTAAGACCTGAAAGGTTCCCCAACAAGAGGAGCTCAAAGCTAGCCCCAAGAGAAGATGGACCATTTCGTATCTTGGAGAAGATCAATGACAATGCCTACCGCTTGGAGTTGCCCGGTGAGTATAATGTATCTTCTTCTTTCAATGTGGCTGATCTACTTCCGTTTGATGCAGGAGATCTTGTTTCGAGGTCGAAACCTTTGCAACGGGGAGGGAATGATGAGGTCATCGATCTAGATGCGGATGAGGAGCAGCTGAATACGGATGAAACACAAGAAGGAGCTTCGGATGCACTTGGCAAGGAGAGAGAGGTTGCTGAGCTTGCCATGCCTACACTTCCGGATCCACCACTCACAAGAGCTCGAGCACGTACTCTTCGAGCTAAAATCAACCTGTTCGTAGATCATTGGCTGATGGAGACGTCGGTTGACTTGGTTGACCCCGCAACTATCATTCCAAGCCAAACGGAGAGGCTTCTCGGCCAAGGGACAAATTTGTGACCATGAGGTAGATCACTCAAAATCTGATGAGGCCTTGAGAAAAACCCAGAAAAAGACTTGTGAGAGTACACCCGAGAGGAAAAATACCAATTTCTTTATGAGAGCGAGTGAGATCAAGAAAGCATTACTTTCTCGACAGCCAATGATTGTACTTATGTACAAAGAGACTCTTTTGAATACTAACGAACTGACACCGTCTTTGCCTAGTGTGGCTTTTGATCTCTTGCAGGTGTATGACGATGTTTTTCCTGAAGAGCTTCCACATGGATTATCACCTATTCGAGGGATTGAACATCAAATCGACCTTGTTCCTGGAGCTAGCCTTCCAAACAAGGCTGCATACCAAACAAATCCTGAGGAAACCAAAGAGCTCCAAAGACAAGTCACAGAACTGATGGAGAAAGGTTATGTTCGTGAAAGTATGTCACCTTGTGCTGTTCCAGTCATCCTAGTTCCAAAGAAAGATGGTATGT